GGGGAGTCACATTCGGACTTTTTCAAAAGAAAATTTTTCTTCAATAAAATTTCTAATACTGTATGTAGACGTTATTTATTGAGAAATTAATCTGTGTTATGGTTACAACTTGGGTATTCATAATCACAACTGGTTCAAATCTGGCTTCAATCTTCATACCTTCCATCAAATAACTGTAAATCTTATTCATTTTTCAAGCCCTCGTAACACAACAATATGGTAGCCTCACCAGACAACAATGTGGTATTCTTCACTTAATTTCAGATAATGTTTTATATTACAAACGTATTAGCTTTCAAACTTATGCATGTCTCTGTAGGGAAATAGTGATTTTAAAACAATTAATTTGTTAGTAAGTACATATTTCTTGTAATTTACATGAAAAATGAATGTGGATACATGGTTCGCGGATTTTTCTTAGGAGATTACATCTAATCAAAGAAACAATTTTTAGAAAAATAATTATTATGATTATCGTTTATACAAATAGCAGTTGCAAGGCATGACAACTATTAATGGCAGTGGCAGATCTATGGATTGAGTTATGGGTGCTTGAGCACCCATTACTTTTGCAGCCACACACTATTACTTGTATAGAAAAATTAGTAATTCATACAAATATGTTAATTGAGCACCCAGTTTCAGATTAAAAATAGTTGAGCACTCCGCAATGGGAATTGATCTTATGATACATTCTTGTGCATGGATTGAGAGTTTGGATAGATACTGTATTGTGTGAATCGTTATTAACGTAATGTTTCAATTCCTTGTTTAATGGGAATATAATCAAATGAAAGGCTGATGGAAGAACTGAAGAACAAAAGGCGATAGACGAATGGCTTCCCATTACTTCCTCTAGGAATGCAAAATGGTGGTATTCTGCATTTCACAATGTTACTGCAATGGTTGGAGCTGGTGTCCTCGGTCTTCCTTATGCCATGTCAGAGCTCGGATGGTACGTACATTTATCTATATCTTAGGGTATTCGACGATACTAACTTTTCATATACTTTAATTTCTATCTTATAATACATTTCATTTCTTAATTAGTTATTGAAATGAGTTTGGACGTAATCTCAGGGGACCTGGTGTAACTGTGATGGTGGTATCATGGGTTATAACTTTATACACGCTATGGCAAATGGTTGAGATGCACGAAATGGTTCCAGGGAAACGTTTCGATAGATATCATGAGTTGGGGCAGCATGTTTTTGGTAACAAGCTTGGCCTATGGATCGTGGTGCCTCAGCAATTGGTTGTTGAAGTTGGCCTTGACATTGTTTATATGGTGACCGGAGGAAAATCGTTCCAGAAAATCCATGATTTAGTCTGCAAAGACAATTGCAAAGACATCAAACTGACCTATTACATCATGATATTTGCTTCTGTCCATTTTGTGCTTTCTCATCTTCCCAACTTCAATGCCATATCTGGTGTGTCTTTGGTAGCAGCTATCATGTCCTTAAGGTATAGAAATTACTTCCTTTAGCTTATTGTTATTGTTCTTGTTCCATTAATATTTAGGACATCGCGCTCCTAACTTTCTGACTTATGTATACCTGTTTGGATGGGCTTGTTGTAAGTGACTTTTAAGCCAAAAGTCATAAGTAAGGAATTCTAGTTTTTGTCTTTTGACTTATTTTTGTCATTTTAGCCTAAAAACAAGTGCTTAAAAGCACTTTTTTACTTTATTCAAACACTACAAAATGACTTAAAAGCTATTTTGGCTTAAAAGCCACATTTTTATTTACTTATGTATGTTTTCAATGCGCTCCCTCACATTCTTTTTCATATGTCAAACACATGGAAATTCTTTTTGATAATGGGGCGATGGCAGGGGCGGATCCAGTATAATGTTACCGGGTTCAACTGAACCCAATATTTTTAGCGCGAAGTATAAATTTATGTGTAAAAATCTACTAAATTTATAAAAAAAAATAGTAAATATGAACTCATAACTTTAAATATATAACTAATTTTATATCAAGAACCTTAAAGATTGAACCCGTAGAATTTAAATCTTGATCCGCCTCTAGGCGATGGTGAGACTCGAATTGAGGATCTCTTCCTACACTTATAGTACCATATACTATCTAATCTAAAAGTTTAAACTGTTAGAAATAGGACAATTTTATTTACTTAATGATGTTTTCAACAGTTACTGTACCATTGCTTGGGGGGCTTCAATTGACAAGGGTGTGCAACCAGATGTGGAATATGAATACAGGGCTGAAAACGCAGGGGAAGGTGTTTTCAACTTTTTCAGTGGATTGGGAGAAGTGGCATTTGCATATGCAGGTCATAATGTTGTGTTAGAAATTCAAGCTACAATCCCTTCAACACCTGAGAAACCTTCTAAAGGACCAATGTGGAAAGGAGTCCTTGTTGCTTATATTATTGTGGCTCTATGTTACTTCCCTGTTGCTATTATTGGCTATTGGATATTTGGGAATTCAGTATCAGACAACATTCTTATCTCTTTGGAGAAACCTACTTGGCTCATTGTCTTGGCTAATGCCTTTGTCGTTATCCACATTATTGGGAGCTATCAGGTATGGCATGAAACATATGTTGCTCGGACTCTCCAAAAATGATGTCGTACTCGTGTCAGATCCTTCAAAAATATACTACTTTTGAAGGATGACATTTTTGACGAAACATTCTTGTTGATTGAGTTCCCATATATATTAGAACAGTTTAGTTATGAGTGGAGTGTAACATTTTTATCTAACGAAATGTGCTTATTTTTGTGTTATTGTAGTTGTATGCAATTCCGGTGTTTGACATGCTTGAGACTTACCTTATTAAGAAACTTAGGTTCAAGCCAACTTGGTACTTGCGATTTATTACCAGAAACCTTTATGTTGGTAAGTAAACTTGCCTTCATTTTGTCCTATGTAATAAAAATTCGAAGTGGTAAAGTGGTGTTGCTTTCAGTTCGAGTACATTGTAATGCCTTTGCTTTTATTGCAGCTTTCACAATGTTTGTTGGAATCATCTTCCCTTTCTTTGGGGGGCTTCTTGGTTTCTTTGGAGGATTTGCTTTTGCCCCAACAACCTATTTTGTAAGTTCCCTTGTCTGTTCTTGGTTTGTAGACTTTGTAGTGCCAATAGAGGCAGAGCTAGGTAGACGTAAGGGATTCAAAAATAAGTTTGGGGTCGGTTAAATTCTAGATGTGACCATTCTTGTATTTATTGAATTTTTGGCTCCGCCACTAAGCGTCGACAGGAGAAAATGATAGCCAGCACTAACACAATGTACTATTTACCCTTCTTTCAGCTCCCTTGCATCATGTGGCTTTCGATCTACAAACCAAAGAGATGGGGTCTCTCTTGGACGACTAACTGGGTATGGTTCAACTTCTTGTGCTTTTTTGATAGTCATTTTATCTGATTCTGTTTTTATAAGCTAAAAACCAAAACTAATTGGACAAATTATTACAGATTTGCATAATAGTGGGAGTAATGTTGACTGTTTTAGCGCCAATTGGTGGCTTAAGAACCATCATTATGCAAGCCAAGGATTACAAATTTTTCTCTTAGGCATCTCTCGTATGGCACACATTCGGAGAAAAGGGTGATAATTGGAGGTCTCATTTTATGTTTCTATTAAATAGAAGATGTGTGTTACATCACAAAGATACTTCTCTGTGTTTTGGGCTTGTACTAGTTTCAGTATACATTTTCGTGTTGCTTCTTGTGTCATGTAACTATAATTAATGTTATATTACTGTCAGGAGCATTTTCAAAGTGGCATTTAGCACTTTGTTTTCTCTCTCTAATCAAACTTCAAAAAGATGCAAACGCACTCAACACTTTGTGATCGTCATCGTTTAGTTCTGTCTTTCTAATCAAACATGAAATTGATGCATACGCGTTCAACGGTTCAAGACTTTGGAATCTTCATTGCTTAAAGAGTAAATGTTTATTCGAAGTCTTTTAAGCCTAAGAATTGGTACTAATTAGGCTGCTATAGCCTCGTTCAGCTGAATTTTGGAAAAATGACATTGTAAATTATACAAAAATTATACAAATTTTATATATTTTTTCGGGGCGCGGGCTAAAAGTGAAAAAAGCTCATGAATAAGACTGTTACAGGAGTCGAAAGAAATAGACTATTACAATTCTTGAGAAATAACCAAAAAGTCAGCCGTTCGGCTTGCAGTTTCTCACTTTTCAGAACGTTAATCTCTGAAACTGAAACAAAATCATTCGGGGAAAAAGAAGTTTAAGTAGATCAAAATTCGATCACTGTCCCATACGTGTCATTTTTTTAACTTCATCTGCTGATTTGACCCAGAAGAAAATTGTATATTTGAACTAGTGATGGAACAAGGATTTTCGTTAAGAGTAGTCAAAGTAGACGTATATACACAATTGATTTTCCTTCATCGGGGTATCAACATATTGTAGCTACAATATTGGCACCCCCTTGAATAAGGTGCTCCGCCACTGATTTGAACCCCCAAATTGAAACATATTAAGTGTCCTCCACGTAAAGTTCTCCTTCATAGATTTATTGAAACATATGAAGTGTCGTCCACGTAAAGTTCTCCTTCATAGATTTATTGAAACATATGAAGTGTCGTCCACGTAAAGTTCTCCTTCATAGATTTATTGAAACATATGATTTGGTTGAAATTTGAAAAGGCCGAATTTGAAGTTAGAAGTTGGAAAAGAGTCCTATCTAGGCCGAGTCCAAACTGAAATTTTCTCATATCAAAAGATGAACAAGATCTTGACCTTAAAATGGTTTACAGCCTATAATCACCCATAAAAAACATGAAGAAAACATCCCTTGCCCTTTTCTCCAACCACTCCAGCGATATTCCAACAACAAAACTGTGTTAACCTTTTGGCGACTTTATTCAGTTCTAATTTTTACATAATCTATTTTGGGTCCTCCTGTCAAATTTTGAAGTCTCCTCAAAAATTGAATCATCATAACTAAAATCATGGATAAAAAGATTTAAAATATAAATATAAATGCGAAGCTGAAAGATCAGAAAAGGCAACTGCAGAGCACTTCCACACAATTCTTTTCCACATCCAATAACAAACTGAATGCCAAGTCAATGTTTTCCAAATTTTTTTCTTATATGTTATTTTTTTCTTTTTTCTTTTCTGTTTTCTTCTTTTTTCGGCTTTCAATATGGAATAGGATTTATGTCATTAACCTATTAGTGATCTCTAAAACACTATGATACAGCTATAGAGGGCAGCTTAATCAATTTCACCTTCCTCGGGCTCAACATCCTTAGGATCACTTGGGACAGTAGCGGGCTCACATTCTTCCTCATCATCATCCATCTTCATGTACAACCCAAGTTGCTCCAGAGCATTACTGCCTCCAAATTTGAAGCCACCTAGCCCATCCTGGGAATGATCTGGACTGGTCTCATCTACCGAGCTAGGTAATTGCTCGGGTGGGACAGCAGTCAGCATCTCCAAATCCTCAAGAAACTTTGAATTCTCATTAATCTCTACAGTCTTTTCCATCTGCACGAAGCAATGGAAGTTTCATGTGATTCTTTAGCTGAAGTGCGTCCAACGTTAAGCACGAGACCTTCTACAACATGGGATAGTTTCTACTCACCTGGAGCAATGCCTGTCTTGCTGCTTCTCTATCGAGCTCTCTCCTCCTCTTAGCCTCAGCTGCAGCTTCTGCTTCTGCACGTCTTTGAGCTTCTTCAGCAGCTTTGGCTTCTGCTTGCAACTTAGCTTTCTCTGATCATGGAAATTAACTTTATAAGGCTACCAATTCACATGCAAAGAATTTCCTCCATCTTTTTAGATATTGGGAGTGTGAGGGGGGCTACCTTTCCTCCTCCGCATCTCAAGTTCCTCCCTTTCACGACGAAGTTTCTCTGGATCGCCCTTCTCGACCTTTATAGCAAATTACAGGATGGAATGACAAGCTGGTCAAAATATTAAGGCTAAAGCAGTAGCAAGTCCTATAACAAGCAGATATACTCACCTCAACAAGTGTCTTCTCTCGAGCTTTTAAAATTGTATCTGCAAATCTGTTCTTCAGGAGAGCAGCTCTATAGAGCTTTTCAGGGGAGACCCTCCTGTCTGGCACACTCTCCCCTAAAATGTTAATAGCACAACGGATGAACCCACAAAACAAAAAAGGCAAAGGAATTAGACCAACTTTTCACTTCTCAAACTAACCGTCTTGATATGCTTCTGACTCAACAGATATTGGCATTTGCTGAGAACTTTGTTCCAGCTGGNTCGCCAGCCGCCACACATTCCAAACCTTGTAGGTATTCTGCAGATGTATCCACTTACTAGATTTCAGTTTCAACTACTGGATAACCATCAACAAGATCCTCTGCTATATAAAACAGAAAAGAACTACTTATCCAAAAAAAAAATCAGAAAGAAACTCACGATCTCCATCAGCTAAACTATTGCCAGCTTCCTTCCCATCTACCTTTGCTGGCGAACTGTGATTCTGTGGTCAAACACCAGAGCAAAAAGACGTATTAGGTTTCCAATTACTCTAAAAGCAGGTCCGATGACAATAATCATCATGAGGGTTCAAGTAGAAACTACAATGAGCTCTCTTCACCTGCTCAGCATGATCAGATGTTCTTTGAGCTTCAGACTCATCATCAGAAGAGCTACTAGAATCTGAATCTGGATGGAAGGGAGATGCAGGAACTAGAGTTAAGAAAGCATTGGGAATTCTTACAACGAAAGCTTTTCCTACTAAATCAGCAGATACAAGTTGCTTTTATATGGAGAAATAACGCTAAAGTACACTTCTATGGATGAACATGAATTTGTAACACCAATTAAGTATTTAAGTTTCTTTTCCAGCAAATATGGAGGTCTGTAGAAGACAAACATGCGCGCAAATGATGCTGGAATGAATTTTCATTTTTTCCAAAAAAGTTGCATTGTCAAAGAAGCTTGAATATGAATGAAATAAAAGAAGAAGAAGAAACTCAATTCAAGCGACACAAGCAAACAATGATCAAGTCTTGATAAAAAAGAACCACTGGGCAAGAGAAGTACAAAACAAAATAGTAGCATAGCACAAACTTCAAAAAAGAAATAAGTAAAGCCTACAACATAGAGGAACATAAAATTAAGGTAACTTCAAGCTCAAACGTAAAGCAAAATCTATGAATTTCTTGAATGAAGTAAATGTGGGGCCACAAGCACCCCATTTTTTTAGCAATTATGCAACATTACCAGCCAGGATCATCACTTATATGGCAAAACACTTGACTGGAAATTGATGAGTACCCAAAAGAGGGATAAAACAGCAAGTAATCGGTGTTTTGATTGACTATCATTGAGAGGAGTACCGCAAGGGAGAACTGAGAAGGTTATGATATGACTATGACAAGCTTGACTTAAAAGATTTCTCCAAAAGTATTAACAATACAGCAACTTAATGATAATCCTCACTATGTAGTACAGTGAAGAACCTGTAAAGAGGATATAAGATCAAACAATAGAAGATCTAATACTCCTATAAAACATTTTAAGTTATTAAAAATAACATTCAGAATATAAAATATTCATCAAGCAAAAACAATTCAGAGTGTTAAAGATTTCCAGGTAATAAAAATTTAAAGAAAAAAGATGGTACAAGATGGTAAAACTAGTCTTATGACCAAAAGGCTTTTAATTTCATCTTGCTGGCCCTAGAAGATAAGACGGGGAAGATTTGAGATGATTGAACATGTAGGATGCACTATAAGAACGAACCAGCACAAATAAGATGAAGAGTATAGATGACTAATCTGAATTACCATTGGGACCCCCTGTATTTATACATTCATCTCTTTTCAGATCTGTATCTTTTTCAATCTCAACTGAAGGATAACTAGAGACAGGAGGCTCATTTCCACCAATATCAACCTCCTCATCGACATGGTCATTACCTGTACATTTCCATTACTTAGAAGGAAAATCATTGAAGTTTGAAATCTAACACCAAACCATATACAGCGTGCATGAAATCAAACAGAAAGAATAAGAACCTCCGTCTACGTGCATGGATGAATTACTAAGCCCCAATTCATTTGGCAGCTGAAAAAACAAATAAGAGGGCACAATAATTCATTAACATCAACCACCCGGGGACAGCCTAATTCTACTTTGTATTTGAAGATGTATTCTTTGATTCTAAACTACCTCTATCTCACAAGGTTCAGCTTTTGCATTGCCTTTTTGTTTCTCTTGCAAAAACTTATCTAGAAGCTCCCGTAACGTGAACAAAGTATCATGGGGAAGAACATCAATGTCAATCTCAATCTCATCATCTCCAGCTGCTGTTCCATTTGAACTTTGTTCCTTCAAAAACTCAATGATGTTGTCTGGTAGATCACCAAGTGAAGCTTCTAGTTCACTGCTTAGTTTATGTTTCTCTTCATCAGTCATCTTGCATTTAGGAGGTTCTGGCATAATTACATGCTGCATTGGAGAAAGTCTCCTCTTCTTTGAAGCAGTTTCATTTTCTTCATGCAAACCGGATTTTTCTTCCACTGATTCAGCATGGTTAACAGGTAGCTTTTTCTCAATAGTTTTCCATCTTAGTTCAAAAAACTTGCTCATTGTATCAGCCATGATATGGACAATATTACCAGGGGGGTTATAGATCATTGCATTGGAGAATGTCAGTCTCACATCAGCAAGAAATTCCAGTGGACTCAAGTACGCACCTGAAGTAAGCCTCTTCTTTATTGTCCCCAAATCCATTGGATGTTTAATCACAGTGAAATAGTCGGGTATTTTTAACTTAACTATGTCAACAGGCTCATTAAACACGGGACCATGCTGATGCGACATCAACTTTTTCAACAAGTTCTCACACTGTTTCATCAATGTTGCTTTTGAAGTGGATGGTGCTGAAGCAGATTTAAACCTGCCAGAGGTCTCCCTGTTCAGGGCCGACGCCTTCTGACCAAGAAGGTTTGACTTTTTCCCGGGCCCAGTTCCTGCAGATTTCTTCTTGCTTGCTAAAGGAGGCCCTTTGTGTGCATTGCTACAGCTAACAATATCGCTAGAAGATGAAACTGCAACTGCACTTGTCCTATAAAACTCAACTTTCTTCTGCAGAATTCTTATTTGGTCAAGATCAGATCTCAACTGCAGAACCAAGTTTTTCCTCTCAGATGGTGACAGCTTGGATAACGAGATAACTTGGATTGGCACAGCAAAACCATCATGTGAAGAAGAATTTGTATTTATCCATCTCTGCTGAGGAGCAAAAGAATGTCCTGAAACAGCAATTCCAGCATCGAATCTACATGAACTGCCAGAGCCTTCTGATTCGTAATTAGTGGCAAATGCAACAGAACCACCTCCACGCAACTTATCTTTCTTTGCCATTCAGACTGTAGAAAGAAGATTTTCCCCAACCTATCACAAAGGAAGAGATGTTCTCAGAAGGTCAATCCTGAAACCATCCATAAAAACCAAAGGAGTTACATTGGCAGAAAGTCCTAGATTATATTACAGAAGCATGATACAAAGAGCTCTAAGTGTAGAATATAGCTGTTACAACAGTTCAGAATANCAGGTACTATTTGACCTTAGCTAAAAAAAGATTTTCCCCAACCTATCACAAAGGAAGAGATGTTCTCAGAAAGTCAATCCTGAAACCATCCATAAAAACCAAAAGAGTTACATTGGCAGAAAGTCCTAGATTATATAACAGAAGCATGATACAAAGAGCTCTAAGTGTAGAATATAGCTGTTACAACAGTTCAGAATAAAGTTTAATTAGACATTTTCAACTTTACATTTAACTATTTAAGTCAGTTAATAAATTTCCTCTTTTCTCTTATAACCTTGTAGCTAGCTGTCCCATCTGAAATCAGTATGCTGCGAGGTAGTTACAAGCTCCATCGCCTTTAATACTTTTTTTTTGCAATGTGTTACATGAATGAATGAATTGAGCACGTTTTCGTATTATTTTCTCCCTTCTCTTCTCAGTTTCTTCAATTCTGTTTCCAAATTTCATTTTTTCTCTTGTATTTTATTTGATCTTTCAGCTCGCACCAGCATCGTTCTGGAGCTTCTGAATATAAACCAGGGCGGACAACTAGGAATTCAAAGGAATTGATGGAGTTACAAGGCTTAAATCAGAATTTCAAGCTTTTGTGATCGAGAGCGACAAAAGGTTCAAGCTGCTGTGAACTGCTCACTCTCATTTTGTTGCCAGTCCTCTCTTTCTGCTGTGCTGGTTAAGGACAATTTGGAATCAATCGGAAGAGAGAAGAGAGTTATTGCAGGATGGAGACTATGCTTATTTGGATAGACACTAATGGGCTTGCTGAAAACTCTCATCCTGCTCTGATAATAGTTATTCAAGGAACTCCGATGACATATAAGCAACAATCCTTGTGGGTGGAAATACAAGGCCGATTCTCTACCACCAACTCCAAAGATCACACCTAGATATAGAAGATGGTCTTCCCACTGCTTCAAAATGTGCAAAAGGGGGAGAGAACAAGGAAATATAGCCTACTTACCACTTTCAGCTTTCTCCTTACGAAGGAGCTCTTGTGGATCAAGGTACAACTTATTCAAGGTTAAGAAGTAATCTCCTTTATGAATACATTAATGGTTAAAAAGACAGTAAATACTTAATGGATAAGTATGATGCTCATTAGGAATATGATATCACTTGCTTCTCGAATGATGATGTTTAGGAATAAAAATTAGAAATTTAGTATAAGAAGATCGGTCCCATGCTGAATTAGAAATTTGCATCAAATATATGCAATCCTCACTAAAACTCGTGCTTTAATTGTGCCTTTGCAATAAAACCCCAACAAACACTTGTTGCTTTTCTAAGTTGATTCGCTTTTGATAACACTAGCTATAAAGGGGGTGAAAGTCTCAAGAATCTGATTAAAGCATCACGTGAGGGAGCTATACCTGAGACCTCTTTCCAGAATAGGTTAGTTTGGTACAACAGTAAGTTATTCAACACATGACTCATTAGAAGGGATCCATGTCTCCTAGCCATTCATAAGAGACAGAGCAGCATTTATTGGCCTTCATTATTCGAGGACGGCAGAAAGCAGGTTATAAGTGCGTGATACTTGCCAAAAGTGTAAAGTAGAGAATGTGGCATATCTATGTTACTACAAAACCCTGCCTATTCTTGAGAGGGCACTTGAATATGCAGTTATGAATTTTATAATGGGGCGGCCAAGTAAGAGGATCTCTGTGATTGTAGATTGTTATAGCATATATGTTAATATTTTCTCATTAACATACTCTTCTCCGTTGTCCAAGTGGCTAGAATATTCTCAGATAATAAACAGCATGGACTACTTACAAGCAGATTCTCTACCAACGAGATCTTCTAAAACCTTTTTTCAGATGGAACTTTTTTCAAGAATACAGGTCAAATTACAACTTAGCTTAGTCAACCCTCCACAAATAGATGGAATGCCCAAGCAACTCGACAGCTTCCTAAAGACCTACTGAAATGTGTGAATAGCCACAAATCCGGTTGGATGTCCTACACATAATATTTGTAGAATAAGAAATAACCCCTCAGCTCCAGGGATGACACCATTTCAGACCATTACAAGCTTTACAGATTTAGTAGGCAATTGACTGCCAAGTCCTACCGAACGACCTCACTAAAACCCAAAATGGAATGAAACTTCAAGCTGACCAAAGGAGTTCCTGAGGAAGAAGCTGAAGTGGGTGATTGGATTTCCCTTTATATTACAATCGAAAGGGCAAACAACCATGGCTATTAGAAGGACCCTTAAGCTATACCAAAGTACTACTGGCGAAAAAACGAGGGACATATGGTCTTTCACGCGTCACAACTTAAAAAAGAGATTGAAGATCACATCGTTGCTTCAGTCGAGCTACTAGTGAGCACTTCCTTTTTAATAAGGGAGCTAACAGTGTGCACTCGTAATGGACAACCATAAGTGAAACCCATAGACGTACTCAATCGAGATTGGTCACCAAGGAATATGCTGCAACAATGAAGTTTTGGTTACAAGAGATAGCTAAATTGGAGGATTTCAACTTTTTATCCCCCCATTCCCGGATTTCAAACCTTTCGGAAAAGGTACAACCGAGGGAGGAGGGAAAGCAAAATGAAGGATCCAACGAAGAGCTCGAAGGATAGCATGTACCCATTGTGGCAGTTAAGAATGAAGCTTAATTTCCGAACTTCCAAATTTTGTCGTTTAGTCCCATTTAAAATTTTCCTTTTATTTTACTACCTCATTGCAAGCTTTCCCGTGGAATCAGTGCGGCCCAAAGTTTAGGGCTTTGGTTTAACAGCACCTGGGAGTTTAGTTTAACAATACTGCAAAATATATGATAGGCGCATGTCGCGAGTTCGGATCTTGTTTAGTGAACCAAGACTAATTTTTATGTGGAGAGGCATAGAAGGGCAAGCCTATTTTTCACCAACTTTCAAGAAAGAAACTCCATAAAAAGAAGGCATTGGTTCTAAGAAGAATAGCGAGACTAATTGGTCCAGCAGTCTCATACATTCGTCAAAGTCCTCCTAAGAATTTAGCGATGGTGACCTATTATCATTGTTTCCTGGTGACCTATGTTGACTACGGTGCGGTATCCGATACAGATGCGGATCTAGAGGTCGAATTCTCTGTCACATAAATTTTAGGATTCGAGGTTATGATTAGAGTGCGGATATGAGTGTTGTGATACAACCAATAAATGTATATTACAACATATAAAGTATATATTTCGACTATTAAGGTTATAGAATTAAAACTAACAAAATGTAATTCTTTATACATACCTAAGGGTCATTTGGTTCAAGGGATTAGGTAGGTTATCTCGATATAAATTTTGAGATTAAATTTATCCCAGGTTTAGTTGGAGGTATAGTTAAAATAAGTATTTTTTTAATACCAAAATCTCGGTATAACTTATCCCATATAGAGGTGGGATAAGTTACCTAGGTTTAAATCCTGGTTATAATCTAGATATCCTGGTTTTGAACTAGACGATCCGCTTATATTTTATTCATAAGATATCTCAAGTAATAGCAAAGCATTCTCATACTTTATAACTACACACACATATGTGTGTATCTGTATAGGGCACATTAAAAACAACATAATGAGATGTGTTACATTCCCCAAATCAGGCGACTAGCCAAGTACGCATTTGTAATCTCTCGATGGCGAATCAATTTTCTTTATTTTGCCATTTCTACTCAGGGGACGGCCAGTGTCCACCGTCACTCTCTATTTTTCACAACCACCTTTCTCCTTCCCGCCATAACAAAAGAGTGGATATTTACTAGGAGAAAAAGAGACAGAGAGTTGGTATGAAATTTCCTCACCATAGAACCAACAGAATTGGATGTCATCTATTTCTACATTGTCGGCTAGAATCTCATGCTAAATTGATCTAAATTGATCACCATCTCCAAAACTCCCATGCTACATTGTCGGCTAGAATGTTGTTTAAAAAACTTATTGTGTTTGATTCAAGCTTTATCAGTTTTTTCTTTATTCCTTTGGTTCGCCATGGACGATGGGAAGGGAAAGAATAGAGAGTAGAGGAGAAGAACTAAAAGGTGGGTTTAACTTTTGGTGAAAAGATAAAATAGTCCATCTCATTGTGTTGTTTTAATGTATTGGCATGGGTATTTTGGGCCATTTAAAAAAGGGTACAAAGCTAAAATACTACCTTCATGTAGTATGTTTGTAAGACCCTAAGTTACTCGGACTCGGCAATTTGGGCACTGTACCCGTGTCGACACGACACTGACATGGGTAAGGTTGTGGGATCTGTGTCGGATCCGGTCAGACGAGATCGGGTGTGCTGACCAAAATTTTAAGGAAAATTTCTGTAAGTAAAGGAAGTGGTACAAATCTCTTTATATTTTTTATTGTACTATCCCATGAAAAGTGATTTTCTTGTCCAAAAAGTAGGGTATATAGTGAACTTTCTTGTCAAAAAAGTGTGGTAGTGAACTTTATTGTCTAAAAAGTGGGGTACAGAGTGACCTTTCTTGACAGCAAAATACATCCTTCCTATCTTTTCTCTATCTACTTTCCCTCCAAAAGACCAAGAAAATGGACAAAGAAGCCATTCTCTCTCTGCTTCATCTCGACTTTCTGTGACCAAAGCCAAAAAAAATCAAATTTTTTTCTTCATCCAATTTATAGCTATATTTCTAGATTTTTAATTTATTTTTCGCCGAATCCCCGCACCCGTACCCGTACCTAGATCCATATCCTCGAATCCTAAATTTAGATCATGAAGGATCCGACCTTTGGATCCGTACCCGCGTCGGATACTCCTACCCGAGTCCGAGTAACTTAGGTAAGACCTACATACATAGGGTCTTGCTGACATACTACATGAAGGTAGTATATTAGCACTGTACACACTTTCTAATTTCCTTAAATGCCCTCAAATACGATATGGACACACCCATGTCGTGTCGTCACAGGTGCGGCAGAAAATTTGAAGAGTTCGAGCAACATAGCTGGCAACCCCTCATTCAAGGTGTTGCTATTTTCAGGGTCATGCCTAGCCTTGATCTAGAAGGAGATAGGATGGAGCGAGGAGCTCGGGTCCTCGAGATCTCACATACTGCACATTCGTTGGAGAAACTTCATGTCCTTCTCTCGAGATCCTATCTACATACGAATCTTACTCTCATGTCCTTCTCTCGAGATCCTATCTACATAGAAATCTTACTCTCTTCCACACATTACCGATGGATATTGCCACAGCCACTATCACTTTGGGTGTGATTTGAGCATATGTCTTTTTACTTTTTCTAAATCTTTCCTTATTCTCTTGGTTACTTCTGCTATGTTTTCAAATATCAGTCTATCTTTTATATTATGATTGATCTTTCAGCTGTAGTTACAAATTCTTACATATATGGTAAACACCGCAGAAAACTCAAAGGGGCAAGCTTTTCCCATTAATTTCATGGTAAATGAAACCTAACTCGATCATGGGAAGAACTTTATCATGTAAAATTAACATAATAGATATTCCAAAAATTGAGTAGATACCTAATCAATCTACAGAACAAGCTAATTACAGAGTGCTCACTAATTTTACAGCTTCAATTTGACCGAACTTGTTATTCCACGAAAAAGGAATACAACAGGACAATTAGGAGTAGTTATCAAGACTCACTCGCTAATATTAATTACCTTTTGCTTAATCACCAGTTGATCACCAGAGGCAAAGCCCAATTCCACCAAGATTATATGATTCGATGAAATAAAGCAAAATCAAACAGGAAACCCTAGAATTGTTAACCTAAGCCCCAATTTGATCTCTAGCACATGCAAGAAGAATGAAATTACGCGAGGAGTTGAATTTTTACGAACCTTAGAATGAAAATTGAGCAAATTATAGGGCAAGCCGCTGCGGATCACAAGCGAAGCTGAAAGCACGAAGCACCAGCTCTTCTTCAATACTAGAAAGCAGATAACTTTTTTTTCTTTTCCTTTTTTCTTTTTCTCTCGCTCTTTTATTTCTGTTAAGAGTGAGAAACGTGGGCAAAGTACACAAGCGGGTTTGTCGTACCGTTAACGCCTTTAAATAGACGAGAATTGTTGACTTTCCTACCGACCTAAGTCAAATCTCAACCGTTGGATCTTGCGTGCGGCTAATCCAACGGATGATATCATCTATAGGGCTTCTGTACATATCTTGATCTGACGGGTGAAAACCACCTGAGCTTAGGGTGTGTTTGGTAGGAAGCGAAAAATATTTTCCAATTTTTCCGTTTGACTTAAATGTTTTGAAAATGTCATGGAAAATATTTTTCTTATCAAGAAAAGGAAAAATATTTTTCAAAATTCCTTTTCAACCTTCCACACCCTCACCAACTCATCCCCACCCACCC